GTATTTTTGCTCAAAGTCTTGAAAAAATGGATTTTACATATATACTAAAATGCATCAATAACGTAATATAGATTTAGGATGTGTTGTAGATCTATCAAAAAAGCTACCGTAGATCTATCAAAATCGATACTTTTGCGTCCGGAGACTTTCCGGACTAAAATTTGTCGATCAGCACGTGACTGTGAAAATTTTATGTTGGCGCACCGCAAATCAATGTCCGTGACCAAAATCAATTACGTAATCGCTTTTTTAAATTTCAATCTGCGCAGAGTTACGAGATCACGAGGTTTCTTGAAGAAATAATTTTTTATATTTATTCATCTTATTTAATTATTGCTTCAAATTCTAAGTCAAATTACATTAATTCGAATGCATTTATATCCAAATTCGAATTTTATTTATTTAATACATGTATATAGCTTTAAATTTGAATTTAATGCTACTAGTAAAGGTATTTTTGATATGTTTTTTTGCTCGTTCGAAATTTTAATGTTATCTACCATTTTTTGAATAGTTTAAAGTTCAATTCAATCTTTCGAAGACATATTTTGTTGGAAGATTATTAGAGTTTTCAAAACAATCAAGAGCCTAAACATAAAATTAATAAATATATTTATTTAAACACGGAAATATAATAATAAAAACTTTTTTATACCTCATGAAGAGTTTTTCTGTATTTTCTTAAAATTTCAGATTCGGATTCATTATCAGTACTCGATTCCTCATTATCTATATTTTGGTTTTCTGAATTTACCAGATCGATCGTTAAATTGACTTGTGTGTAATCCATTAAGGCAACGTTCGAATAATTCCCAATAAAGTTTCTTTAGCTTCCGTAATAAAAGGAAATTGAGAATTTCATTGTGCCTAAATTAATATAATTTAGATTTAGAAATTTTTAAACCATAATGTAATGAAAGCCTTTCGAAAAATGATGCATTATTTTCCCAAGATTAACAAAATATTAAAAAGAATAAGAACAATTTTGATGATTGGTTAAATTCATCTGCACATTTTTAATGCTATGTGTGGTTAATTTATTCTACTCAATTTTGAATTCTTTATGACACAATAAATGTTCGTTCATGCAGAAGCAATTGAAACCAATGTAACTGTACTGGCAATGATTTTTCGGTAAGAATATGACAAACAAGATATTGCGTTCTTCAACATCCATTCTATAAACTATAACGTATTCAAGCTCTTCGAATTTTATGGCTTTTTCTTTTCTCTTGCGAATATCATTTAAAATTCAATCCTCACATTTCCGTTTTTTGCTTTCATTTACAAGGCTTGAACACTTAAAACACGATTTATTATTGATTTGAAACGCACTATTTTGTTTCGTAATTCAACAAGATTAACAAAGTTCATAATATGTGTGTGTTCCAGTCCAGAAAATATTACAATATTAAAACAATAAAATTTCAATGTATATAAATTGTTATTAATATATTATTATTATTATTAACCAAATGTCGTCATTATTGAATTAATCATTAATTTTGATTCCATAGGAAGACTTTCGTATAATTGGCTGTTTAAGTCTATTTAATTTTACATTATTTATACAGTTTAAAGTACTTTTTTAAAAAAATCAAACTACAAAGAATAAACAAAAAAGAAGTACTGTATACAGAAAGTTTTAATAAGGTTGTAGGACTCCACTATTAAAAATAATCAAAATTCCTTTTTGTTTTAGAGAAGTTAGCATGGTAATAGCCTAATTCTATCTATCTTTAAGAAGTCGCTATTATGTTAACTTCCCTAAAGCCAAAAATGATTTTGATTATTTTTAATGATGGAGTCCTACAACCTAATAAAACTTTTTATATACTTCTTTTTTGTTTATTCTTCGTAGTTTGATTTTTTTTAAAAAGTACTTCAAACTGTATAAATAATGTAAAATTAAATAGACTTAAACAGCCAATCATACGAAGGTCTTCCTATGGATTTTGATATCGAAAAATAAATTTAAGCTCCGTATATATGTAACTGATTTTGATGGCGATATTTCTGTACTTGCGTGTCAAAAAAAATTGTCACTAAAATGAGATTCTACTTGAACAATCGCATTCTGATTGGACGAAATTATTTAATTGTAATAAACTTTTAACGAAGATATCTTGGCAGGCAACTATCTAAAATCGATAAAATCGGTTTTATTTTAATTATACATTCATATAGAATCGAATAAAAAAAAAAAATCAATGATAGGTGGCTATCGAGATACCTTTCTCAAAATTTGTAAAAAACTTTGCCGCAACATCCGTTTTTTTGAAATTTGTTTATTTTAATTATACAGGCATATATAATCAGAATAAAAAGATTTCATCGATTTTGGATAGGTGGCTGCTAAGATATCTTCGCTTAAAGTTCGGAAAAAACTTTGCTGCAGCTTGTTTTTGATAATTATCCAAGTTTTCTAAATTTTGAGCGAAGATATCTCGACAACCACCTTTCTAAAGTCGATGAAATTTTTTTAATTCTGATTCTATATGCCTGTATAATTAAAATAAAAAATTTCAACGATTTAGATAGGTGGTTATCGCGATATCTTCATTCAAAGTTTAGAAAAAAAAACTTAGTTAACTATCAAAACGAAAGCTGCGGCGAAGTTTTTCAAACTTTGAGCGAAGATATCTCGACAACCACCTATCTACAATCGTTGAAATTTTTTAATTCTGATTCTACATGTCCATATAATTAAAATAAAAACATTTTCATCGATTTTAGATAGGTGGTTGTCGAGATATCTTCTCTCAAAATTTACAAAAAAAAAAACATAACTACCAAACAAGCTGCGGCAAGTTTTCCCAAACTTTGAGCGAAAATATCTCGACAACTACCTATCTAAAATCGATGAAAAATTTTTTATTCTGGTTATATATGCTATATAATTAAAATAAAAAAAGTTTCATCGATTTTAGATAGGTGGTTGTCGAGATATCTTCGCTCAAAGTTTAGAAAAAACTTAGATAACTATCAAAACAAAAGCTGCGGCAAGTTTTCCCAAACTTTGAGCGTAGATATCTCGACAACAACCTATCTAAAATCGTTGAAAATTTTTTTATTCTGATTATATACTGTATGTCTGTATAATTAAAATAAAAAAATTTCAACGATTTTTGATAGGTGGTTGTCGAGATATCTTCACTCAAAGTTTAGAAAAAAACATAACTACCAAAACAAGCTGCGGCAAGTTTTCCCAAACTTTGAGCGAAAATATCTCAACAACTACCTATCTAAAATCGATGAAAAAAATTTTATTCTGGTTATATATGCTGTATAATTAAAATAAAAACATGCTTCAACAAGTTTAGATAGTCGGTTGTCGAGACATCTTCACTCAAAGTTTAGAAAAGAACTTAGATAACTATCAAAAAAAGCGGCGGCAAAGTTTTCCCAAACTTTGAGCGATATCTCGACAACCACATATCTAAAATCAATGAAATTTTTTTAATTCTGATTCTATACACTCAAAGTTCGGTAAAAACTTGGATAATTAGGCCAGACCAATTTGATTTGGTGGCTTACATTACTCTCCCTTTTGACCTCCACCCTCTCTCTCTTAGTAAAAAAAATTTTTGGGATAATTTTGGCCGGAGAGCTAATGCCGGGCAGAATTAAGATAAGAAATTGTAAGGATTCGAAAAATTCCGAAGAGAAAATGAAAGAACATAAAAAATGAGCAAGGTCAGGCTGATCAATAATTCCGATTGAAAAAAATAAAATTTACTATGTATATGTTCTATTTTTCCCCCCTCTTTTGAAAAAGAGATGTAATGTAAACCACTAAATCAAGCTGGTCTCACCTTATCAAAAGGTTGTGGCAAAGGGTTTCCGAACTTTGCACGAAGATATCTCGACAACCATCTATCTAAAATCGATGAAACTTTTTTTATATGAATGTACAGTCGGACCTCTCTAAATGCAACCTCCATAAATGCAATACCTCTCTAAATGCACATTTTTGTCTTGGCTATATGAAATCATTAGTGCTAAATGCACATTCTATATTCTGCAAATGCACGTTCACTCAAAAGATTTTTTATATCATACTAACCTCCCTAAGTGCACGTAGCCAATCAGAAGCCAGTATTTAAGTTTGTTATACAAGTTTGCAGATCAAATATTAAAAGCTGCAATTTGATTGGCTCCCTCTAAATGCAAACCTCCCTAAATACACGTTTTAGGCTGGTCTGTACACATTGTATTTATTATTAAAATAATTTTTTTTTGCCGATTTTAGACGGTTAGTTCCAAGATATCTTTGTTAAAAATTTGAAAAAAAACAATTACAATTGAATAATGTCTAATCAGAATACGACTATTCAAGTAGAATCTCATATTAGCGACAATTTTTTTAAAGCGGCTAGAGGTGTTTACTAATTCTCCCAAGTTTCTGTAACGTGAAGATCAAAACAACAATCGCTTTTTTTTCGAGAAATCACCTTTTGGGCACTAACAAAAAAAATTTCTAGCAAATATTTTAGTATAAGGTTGTCTACTAACTTTGATGTCACATTTTAAGGCTAGAGTATTTTGTGTGATTTACTAAATAGTACAATTGCGGCATAGCTGCAAGTTGACGATCATTTGTACAATCAGATAAAAATAGAACAATATATAACAGACAGCCAATCAAAATTAGTCAAATAATTGTACTATTGCTATATACGTACTGTACGTACGTACGTAGTAATTTTATTTTTTTGCATTTTACTGTTTTATGTCAGTTTTTTTTTACTTGGCTTAAAAGCTTCTAACCACAACTTTTTAACTATTTTTTGCCTTGCATTTGGGGTAATCCCTGAGATATTAGACGTATATACTAATGCTAAAGATCCTGGTCACATTGGTTTGATTATTACTTTTTGCGCCAATATTCCTTCTAAGCAAAGCCTATCAATCGCATGTAGACACATGCTTTTAGTCTGAATAAGTGTATTTACAGTGTCATCATTCATATCATCACTTTCATTTGTCCAAAGGGAAGTTAAATTTTTTTCACAGATGTTTTTGTTATTGGCTTTCATAAAGACATCTACGATATCATTACGACCAAAAGTTACTAACTGTGTTTCTGGATCATTTGTGAATCTCAAAAGTTTATCCACAGTATCTAGAATTCGAAGCAAATCTATACTAATATCACACCAAATAATATTATCTGTAATACATCTTATGCAGTTATCACAAACACCACACTCAGAAATTTTGGGATCTTCTGGCCATCTAAATGGTTCATATGCCATTTTCCAATAACATTGATATGAATCTTCAAAGGTATAAGCCATTGCGAATATTTTTTTTTTTGATCTATCTAAATGCTTACAACGACGTCGAACAGCTAGCATTTCTAGAGAGTCAGGCTCAGTATCTGAATCAGATTCGTCAGCACTAAAAATATAGTATTAGTAATACGCTAATTATAATTTTATTATCTAATAGAATATTATAACAAAGATAGAAAGTAATGCGGAATTGATCTTTTTGAAATGGTTTGAAATTTTTTATTTTTTAGTAAGTAGGTATATTTTTATTAGCAAAATTAGAAAAAAAGGTTGGGCAACTATAGTTTGTGTTATGAAATCAAAAATTAATTTGTATAGTTTAACTATAAGAATAAATAAAATTTATTTAAATAAATATTGTTAATAAAATTTTCAATATGAATCAAAGCTGGAAATTTGAACGTGGACAAATAATAGTTTTAAATTTTACTGATAAGTGTAATTGGACCAATTTGACTTATGAATTGGACTGTTAGGCATAATCTAATCATCTAATTCATAAGTTTAATTAGTCAAATTTATATTACTTTCTAGTACTTTGCAAAATCAAATCAAAATTTGAATTTGATTTAAATATTTGAAGTTATTTGATCAAATTTTTAATTAATTTGATCAAATAATTTCAAATATTTGAATCAAATTCAAATTCTGATTTGATTTTACGGAGTACTATTACTTTCTATCTTGTCTTTTATTATTTTTACCTACTTTTTTACTTTCTCACCAACAATCATTAGTAGTTCACGAATATCTGCACATGCATATAATACTAAACTTTCAGCTGATTGTCCACCTCTACCAGCTCGTCCTACCTCTTGCACAAAATTTGTTGGAGATAATGGAAAGGTAGTATGAATAATTGTTCGAACATGAGATGCATAAACTCCCATACCAAAAGCATTTGTAGCAACTATGTATTTTAATTTTTGATTATTTTATAAATTCAAAGTTGTTTTTTGATCTGTATCACGCATTTTTCCATGATATACACCAAGTTGATGAGGTTCTATATACTCTTTAAAACTATTAAAAATTTCTATACATTCATTTGGAGTTGATGAATATATTATTGCTTGGCCTTCAGAATTTAATGTTAAATTTTCATATACTATTTTAATAATATCCTTTTTTTTTGATGGTTTAGATTGAGTTTGAAGCACAAAAGGAGATTTATATACTAATGTTATTCTAATTACTTTCAGATCTGTTCTGTTTAAAATTGTCACAAGTTTTGATGCTTCTTGATAAGAACAAGTTGCAGTTAGTAATAAAAGTAGAGCTGATGGAAATTCTTCTTTTATCTGTCCTAATTTTGACCACGCAGGTCTATAAATTTGTTAGGTATATTTATTATATTAATAATTATATATATATATATTTTTAAATTTTAATATATACTAACCTAAAATTTCCAAATTCTAAAATACAATGTGATTCATCTATAACAAATTGTATGCCACAGGTTTGAAAAACATTATGCAAAAATCAACGAAATTTTGAATTTTCTATAAACTTTTCAGATGTTGCCCATAAGACTTTAGTTATACCTGCTGCAACTTCACTAAAAATTTTTTCTTGTATATCCAAAGACTGATTTGAAGTAGCAAATATTGTAGTAGCAGAAATTTCTATTT